GAGCAAGAGGTATGTGCATATTGCTGCTGTAGTTTATATCAAACCCAATGTAAAATAACGAACCTACCTTGCCATAAGCGCTGGTGGGACTGCGTTTACCAAAGCTTACTCAGTCCCCCTCTCGGAATTTATCACGCGAGGAAACACATGGGCACCGTCAGATTATGCAAAAGTAAAATCCCTCCGATTTGAGGAAGTGGGTTTTGGTAAAAAAAAAAATTGGGGTTGGCAGTCTCTTTTCCGAAAGCAGCAAGGAGTCTCTCACATTTTGTGAACAATAACAACTTGTCCATTATAGAGGGGGTTTTGGGCGAGATCGCGTAAATATAAATGTGTCGTTAAACCCGCCACCGCCCGACGCAGCCAATTAGTAAGGTTTGTCACGTTTATCAAACCGTGCCAATTCGTTACTAAATTTCGATTTAAAGCTTTCGTGACTGCAGGGATTCATCTTCTTGGTTCTTTCGGTAAAGTCACGTAGAAGGAAAATAATTAAAAAAATAAAACATAATGTTTTATTTTTATAAGTAAAACATAATAATGTTTTATTTTTATAAATAAAACATAACGATGTTTTATGTTTATTATTTTATTATTTTCCTCCTACGTGACTTTACCGAAAGAACCAAGAAGAATTCGTTACTAGTACAGCACACTGGTTGTGTGTTGGAGAGTGACTGCCAAAATCTGGCTGTAGCCTGATGAGGCTGGTTGTTGCAATTACCGGCGAAACGTCACAATACTCGAATTGTAAATGTTATCGTGGTTCAGTCTCCAACACACAACTGGTGTGCTGAACTACTAACGAATTGGCACGTTCTGTTTACGTGACAACCCATACTAATTGGCTGTGTTGGTGGTGGTGGCGGGTTAAACGACACATTTACACCATTGGAACCTCATTTGCCAGTAACAAAATATGATAATTGGCAGATAAAAGGGTAAAAAAACAATTATCATATGTTGTTACTGGCAAATGAGGTTCCAATGGTGTAAATGCTTACCCCGAGCTCTCATACTCTGATGGTTCATTGTCCTTGAGTTGTGCGCCTTTTGGCGTCATCTAGTCCAACACATGTGAGACTAGGCTCTAAGGAAAGCTGTCTCGGGTGTGGACCAATCAATTTCAAGGACAATGCATACATTATCAGAGTTGTGTTTTTTGTTTGCATTCCGACTGCAGGTATTGTGGTCAATGCAAATATGACTCCTTGTAAAAAAAGGTGTCAGTTTTGTTGCCAGATAAAAGGGTAAAAAAAACAATTATGACACATTTATATTTACGCGATCTCGCCCAGAAAAACCTCTATTATGGATGATATTGGTCGTGAAAGCCTCCTCCTACTACTGCTACTGCCAGGTGTGAAACTGAATAACAAACTCGAATGCTTCCATTGCTTTTCGTTCTGCTCCAAAAACATATCTCTGATCTTGAATTTAAAATGAATTTTGGCAGCGTTGGGGAGTTAGGGCATTTTTTGGTATATTAATTGCGAGTGAGGTTCCAAAAGTAACATAAGACAATCCTGATTTATGTTAGTATGTTTAAAAGTAGCAATCTAATGCAATACTTTTGTCCAATTATAGTGCTAAAGGCGGAGGAAACTAAGCAAAACGCTTCGGAAGACAAAGCAGCTCAGGGAGCCTCTAAAGATTTATCAAAGAATCGAAAGATGCACCAAACATCGGCTCGAATTCAAATCATAATAAACCTAAAAAGCCAATAATCGATATTCTTTTGTCATGCTTGTATGCTGCCATTTTTTAAATTGTATCTTCTGTAACTTCTGTGTGGTGCCCTCTGATGTTTCTCTTCACATAATTGCCCTCCTTTTTCAGATTTCTCTGTATTCCGTCTGTTTTAACATGAATTTGTAAAGTGCGTTTGAAAATTAATAATGAACAATTTTTTGGGTGCAGAAGTTCCTTATTTCTCGAACTAGTCTGAAGAAGTTAGTCAAACCGCATTGCTCAAGGAGTGTGTATGAATGTATGTTCACAAATGAGTGTAAACTTTACAATCAGAATATTTATTTCTACTGGAGGAATCCGATGAACTATAAAGCTCTTTTTCACAGATGTCCAGTCAGGCGGGTAAGAACGTTTCACCAACAAACAGTACAAAACACGATAGTAGCGCAAAGTACAAGAAGGTAAACAAATTACTCACACACATACAGACACAACACTAAACCATCCTCATCCTACCAGGCAAAGCCCACCGAAGGTATGAACTTATACTGGTAGGAAACCTCCTGGTTACACCAGCCCACAGGGGATTATTGTGTCCGTACGTCCGTCGTGCATACAAACATGGGAGGGGTGGGGCTGGGTGGAGAGGGGAGGGTGGGGAGGGGCTGGGTGGGGAGGGGCTGGGTGGGGAGGGGCTGGGTGGGGAGGGTTCGAGATTTTAAATGTTATCGTAGTTATTTTACATTGGCAAATTCAAACATGTCTATTCACCTAAAACAATTATTGCCACGTATGACATAAAATGACCTCATGGACCCCCCTGGGACATTGCCACGGAGCCCCCGGGTGAGAAGCACTGCTCCTGGACCATACCATTTGGTGAAGGCCCCCAACGGGGTCTGCAAGTGTGAGCCGTGACAATTGGGTGTCAGAAGTGGGATTGATACCAACGCAACTGTGGGGTGTGGGGGGAGCAATGAACCGTGCCAAAATTAGGGGCAGTTTGTTTTACGGGACAAGGGATCCCAACTGTGTCAGCCCTTCTCTAGGAATGTCACCCTGGCCTACCAAGAACGAATGGAAGGACTGCGGCGAAGGCCCGGGAACAGCTGTTTGCTGCATGCGCATGGGACAGCGGCAAATTGAATAACATTTGTATCTGCACCCATGCAGGGAAATTGCACGGAGTTGGTTCACCAACTTGAGAAACGTTTTGGCCCAGGAGATCTGTGTGTGTTCCCTGTGTTTGTGTGTTCCCCTGTGTCTCTGTCTCCATGTGTCTCTGTCTCTCCGTATCCCCGACTCCCTGTCTCCTTGTGTGTCTCTGGGTATCTCCCCGTGTCTGTGTCTCCCTGTGTCTCTGACTCCCTGTCTCCTTTTTTTTCGTATCTTTAGTCTTTTATTCTTATTTTTTTTTAAGAAACCACCTTGAAAATAAACCAAACTCGACATTCTCTTTGGCAACGCGTTAGAATCGAGTCACGTCCAATATATTAACTACTTTGTTCATTATTATTTTAGAATCGTCTGCTATCATTTAATTAATAATAATAATTACATGTTTTTGTGTTTTCCCGGGCGCATGTGGTGGTGATGTGGTGGTGTGTTGTGGTGGTGGTGTTGTGGTGGGGGTGGTGGTGGTGTGGATAGTGGTGGTAGTGTGGTGGTGGTCGTGGTGGTTGTGTTGGTCGTGGTGGTGGTGTTGTTGTATGTGTCTCCCTGTCTCTGACTCCGTCTCCCTGTGTCTCTCTCTGTGTGCCTGCAGCGTCGGGTGCGTGGATGCGAGTAGATTTTGAAATTGTGAATGTCCAATTGCCGACTCAGGGTTGCAAAGTCAAGAACTCAACTCCATGCTTATTTGAGCAGAGCGACATCTTTGATCACGCAGATATATGCGACCAGAGCGAATTACATCTGTTCGGACTGGGTCTACTGGTGACAACATTAGTGCTCATCAAGTTGTGATTACCATTTGTCGAAAGTTGGTTCTTTTAAAGTCGGATAGTTCAAAAATTGCACAGGCTCTGATGAAGTCTGAAACGTAAACATGGCAGTGGCTTGTTTTTTCAGAAAATAACTCAATCACAGGGAAACCCGTTCAAAGACATGCTCCTGTGGAAAGCATGCACGATAATCAAGTGCCATGGCAGCCAATACATTTTAAACACATACACGATTTCGATTTAAAGCTTTCGTGACTGCAGGGATTCATCTTCTTGGTTCTTTCGGTAAAGTCACGTAGAAGGGAAATAATAAAATAATAAAAATTAAAAAATAATTCTCACGACGTTTCGGCCACAACGCAAGCAGCCATCCTCAGGTGAAGAACAGGTCTGTCGGAAACACAGCGTCCGAAGGGAAATAATAAAATAAAAATAATAATTCAAAATAATAAAAATAATTCAGTCTGAATTCAGACGCTGTCTTTCCGACAGACCTGTTCTTCACCTGAGGACGGCTGCTTGCGTTGTGGCCGAAACGTCGTGAGAATGATTTTATTATGTTTTATTTTTATAATTTTATTATTTCCCTTCTACGTGACTTTACCGAAAGAACCAAGAAGACACATACACGATCTTCATGGGGAAAAGTCAAAGACGAGTTTTGTTTGGGTTGGAATCATTTGCCCGATCGTTCGTGAATCGTATGCAGTCGGAGCACTGAGAAATAAACTCAAACCCCACTGAGCATCTTGGATACTGGAGATACCAGCATTTTTATTTAACCAAGTTAGTGCATGTGTAGTGGTGATACGCGCTGGGGTAGGGATCGTGTGCCAGCGCGTAGTGATTGGCTGTGTGCCGGTGACGCGCTGAGAGGGAGTGATCGGGTGGCAGCGCGGTGTGATTGGTTGAGTAGTGTTAACACGCGCTGGGGAAAACGGATCGTAGAGATAGCGCGTCGTCATTGGTTAACTAAGGAGCGATGCTCACGTCGACGTCCGCATCAGCTCCGTCTCCCGTGAGCAGGGGCTATAAAAGGGGATGCACACAGGCGTGAAGGCAGTATGTAACCAGCGAAGAATGAAGACGGGGATCGAAGAGATAGGGCCCTGCGGTACCTAGTCCCGCTGTCCTAACGGGACCGGGACTCTGTGTAACCCAGAGGCGAATGCATTGTGTGTAGCCATAGGCATAGGGTCTACACGAGTCGAATGCATGGTGTGTAGCCATAGGCAGAGGGTCTACACGAGTCGAATGCATGGTGTGTAGCCAGAGGCATAGGGTCTACACGAGTCAAGTGCATTGTGTGTAGCCAGAGGCATAGAGTCTACACGAGTTAAGTGGAGTGTATAGTCAGAAGAATAGAGACCACACGTTGTATTGTGACACGTCAAGATTTAATAAAAGTGTGTTACCCGTCAAGAAGTTCCTGCCGTCATTTCCAATACTTCACATGTAATTCATCACAGTAAATAGAACTGCAGTTAAGAGCGAGAAATTCAATCAATGTCCCTGCCAACGGCATTCGCACAATTCATTTAGGTTAAAACATCTTACACCTAATGTTATCCAAACCAAGCATTCAGTGCAAGTGTCAAAAATGCTTACATTAGTTATATAAATTATGTATTACTGTGCACTTTTCAATATGTTATTTCTACATATTAACTCAAGTATTATGCACATTCCTTCTTCAGATGTATTCGATACGCGCGTTGTTTTAAAAGGAAAAAAAGGCAAGATGTGAGATCCAATATTCACTTTTAGGTATCCTACATCCCGTAATTACTATAAATCACCGTTTTCAATCCACAGCTGAATGAATACCTCCTCACACGAGACAGCCAGAATTAATGTAATTCTTACCCATTTAAATTACCCCAGAAAACCCTCCTTTAGCTATCAAGACCAATTTTTTTACAGGAAAGTCCGAACTATAGGATAATTCCTTATATAGTGAGAATAAAATGAAGTTTCAGACAAATGAGAGAACACTTCACGTAGATTTGTGCATACAGGGACTCCTCTACTTACGAACATTCGACTTGCGCACTTTCAGAGATACGAACAACCCTGGTCCGTATGTGCAATTGGCTGTTCGAACCAAGAGTCGTAAGTTCAACCGCCGCGCAATAGATGGCGGTGGTGGCATCTAGATCTGCAGAACCAGTGGCATCTACATCTAAAGAAGATTACAGTAATCCCTCACCACTTCGCGGTTCAAGTTTTGCGGCCTCAGTGCATCGCGGATTTTTCGAACTGATTTAAAGACCTCATTATACCTGTGCAGTAACACCATCATCATCATCATCCATCATCACATTCATCGAACTGCACAAGTCTGTCATCATCGTCATTGTCATCGTCATTGTCATCGTCGTCGTCGTCATTACTGGAGTCAAGTCTCAAGATACTACTGTCATTGGTGAGTGTAGAACACCATAATACGTATCGTATGAGAGAGAGAGGGAATGTATAATATTAAGGTTTTATAATTAAATAGATTTAAGTAATATATATATAAAGTATAAATATACATATTTTAAACATTCTGGTACCCACACACACATATACGGAAATTCCTAGGGGGCCAATCCTACTTCGCGGATTTTCACCTATCGCGAGGGGTTCCGGTCCCCATTAACCGCGATAAACGAGGGATCGCTGTATACAACTTTTAAAGCCAGTCCTCGTGTTTAGTGTACATGCCATACAACATGTTTGGAATCGACAGGAGTAAAGTTTTGACATATGAACATATCTCTGGAACCGAACTCGTTGGTAAATGGAGGAGTCCCTGTATGCTGAACTTCTTTCGCATCAAACATAGCCAACCATGCTAATTGGAGGTGCGGAGGCAGACCAACAAAAAACAGTCGTCCTTATCATATAAACTCTGGCCACATGGCCAAGCGTGGTGCTGCTAACGCTCAAACCACAACGACGAGCACGCCCCAACACAGACCACTTTTCCCTTGATCCACAGACATCCCATCTGACTGACCGTGGCTTCTCATGGGCCGGGTAGGGAAGGTGCGTTCGTGGAGTGGTGTCGCAATAACAGCAATACCGCACTACGCCTAAAAATACGTTTCCCATCGCTTCCTCTTCGCGAGTAGGGGGGCAGTAAACCCAATCACTCTTGCCTCCCCTCACCCCGTGGGCAGCTGGCCTAGTGGTTGTCTTCCTATCGCCCGTGCATTGCAATCGGCTCATGTTCATTAAAAACAAAAAAAGACCAAAACCCCAGTAATACCACACTGTGCGATGAAACCACGGGCCGTGGCGGTGCCACACCTCATCACCACTGATGGTGAGGATTGAGGTGAGCCCGTGGCGATTGTTAAATTTTCACCAATACTCAAAGCTACGTTTCCTTGGGCAGCACCAGGCGACGCGACACAGCGACACAAACACATCTCGTGAATCATTTCAAATTATCTGCGGGCAACCCCTGGTTATCTCGTGTGAACCCAGTTCACCCGCTTAATCGTAGCTTGCCACACTCCTATTATTTTATTTTATACGGTGCGTGTTCTCTCTCTGTCCTCATATTTATTATCCTCATATGGGCTTCATTGCTTCTTCCACTCGCTCAGCAGTAGGTCCACAGCGTTCGCCAGGTCGTCCACCACGCCATCGGCCTTCACGCTGGGGTGATGCTCATCCGAAGGCCTGCACGGGCACGCGTGAAAAACAAAATTAACTTACAGCCATGATATACAGTAACATCTCATTCACAGGCCAACCAATGGTGAATTTCACTCCACGGATACAAATTCATCAGGAGGGCGGGGGACCTCGTCTTACTGACCCTGGAGACTCATTCCAGCAGTACTCACTTCAGCTGCCTTGGACTTGTGATGTAAGAATTTTTTTTTTAAGTTTGTACCTTTTGGGATAATATGTACGGGTGCCCCCCATTAGCAGGACTGTCACGTGACACTCAGTATTGCACACGAGTGCTGCCAAGTATGGCACAGCTACGGAACGTTGGCTGCCGCAGCTGCAAAGTATTTAATCCACAAATGAAATTGTGCTCGAGTGTTCCACTGCAGATTCATCCATCAAATTGTGCAGTGCCCAAAAGGGCTTAATTAAATACAAATGAGCCATTATAATCACATTTTAAATCAGGTAACATTGTGTTCTACCAACTGAAAGAAAAATCTATTCAAATGAGTCATGCACACATTAGCAGAGAAGCAAGTTAAGTTTGATAACATCTATTGCAGTGAAGCAAGAAAACCATGGGCCCAGAGGGCCATTGGTCACCTAAGCATTACCATCCATTAAATCCAAGGAAAAGTACACATCAGTCAGTCACGACCTTTAGGGTATTACTGAATGAAAACTGCTGGAACTCCCCAAAGCAGTAAGCTATTTTTTAAATCTCTCACATCCTTCAGTTACTTACATGAACTTTCCCGTGCGGACCTGCAGAGCGGAGATGCCACACAGCTGAGCGCCTCCGACATCATTCACAATGTCATCGCCAATCATCAGCACCTGCACCGGAGCACGCAGGAATGCAATACTCAAAGCCCGCATAGGCGCGCACAGCATCCGAATAACCGGGCACCAGTGCCATCGGAGCATTTCGGTTTTGTGATTGATCGCGTAAGTAAAACGTGTGTTTCGTACACCCTCCTCCACTCGACAAAGCCAATTAGTAAAGCTGTCGCGTGAACAAACGTGTCAATGTATTACTGCTTCAGCACCACAGCGATCCGCATACGTTAAAAAAACTGGGCACGAACGTTTCGCCGGTAGTCACAACCAGCATCATCAGGCAGCTGGAGGGCGTACGACACGCATTTTACCTCCACGATCTGCCCCGAAAATCAATTGTGAATCGTAATATTGGTCGCGAAAGCCTACGTGCTAAGGCACCGATTTCCTTACCTGGCTGGGAGTGAGTCCCATATCATTCACAGCTGCCATGAAGAAAGCTTTTGAGGGTTTTCCAACCACCTCCGCCTCTACGTCACACGCGTACTAGAAGACAGGATGTACACCACACACACACACCACGTGAACACACGCGGCCACAACACGCATGCCTCCACATTCAGATACCATAAATATAAATGTCGTTAAACCCGCCAGCACCCGACACAGCCAATTAGTAAGGTTTGTCACGTAAACAGAACGTGCCAATTAGTTACTTTTTCAGCACACCGGTGTGTTGGAGAGTAAACCCACAACATTTCCAATTTGACTACGACGTTTCGCCAGTAATTACAACCGGCATCATCAGGCGGACAGTAATAGTTGTGAAGAAATCCTCCTGTTTCGGTCTTAACTAGAGGGATAGATGTGATGTCATCACTGTGAGCCAATCAGATGTGCAGCCCAGAGGAGGCGGGGGGTCAATGTAGTCATATAAATTACAACGCATCTCTATTATTAGTTGGATTATTCAGTTAATCAACACACACACTAGCGGAGCCAGTGGGGGGGGGTGGCACGTGTCCACCCAATGATCCGATCGAAGTCCCTAATTTCGATCGGATCATTGGGGTTTATTAGTAATAAATCGGCATTTTGCGACCCCCACTGCCACTGTGTAGCATGTTATTACGTGCCAGGGACTCTATAGATGGTAGGACAATAGTCCATAATTGGCAATAAGTAACGGCAAAGCAGTTATAAGTGACTCACAGAATTGTGCGCAGTTACATATACAGTCCACGACTTCTCTGAAGGCAGCGAGCGCGATGCCGATCACACACGATTCGAATTCGACCCTCGATCGATTGCTGCGCCATCGCCGCACACGCGTCGAGTAAAAAAGCAAGGGACAAGTCCTTAGTAACAACTCCTATCATTGTTTATTGCTGGATGGGTTGCTCCCTCTACCTAAAAATCCTGGCTCCGCCATTGAAAAAACACAACGTACATTATGTATGTACATTACTGACCCTAGGGCCCAAAAACAGTCTCAAAGGTGGACCTCTGCCGTTTTTGGCCCTAAGAAATCGTTTCAAAATTGGGCCTCTCACAGTTAATCACCATCGATGAATGGTGACCTGTACAGGCATGCAATGTCTAAGAATTCAACGGAGGACATTCAATACACCAACTTTAATTTCTTAATGCTCATCGAATGTACATAGTATGTCATGAGTTGATTAGTCTTTTGAGAATCATACATTTGTTTGTTTTAATCTAAACCAGCACTGCCCACAAATTTGCGTAGGATGCACGGACGGGGTCGGCAGGGGGGTGCCTAAGATCAGCAGGAACCGTCTCACCACTGTGAGATGTGGGTGACTTCATCCGCCTTTGTATTTGGGGGCAGTGAAGGGTTATACGGCTTGGATCTCGGAGGCAAGGCCGCACACCAGTCTTCGATTGAGCGACTGAAGTAGTTTGTGCTGAAGAAGTTTAGAGTACAAGTGATAACCACAAGCCAGTTTGCTCAAAGCAAAATGTATCGCGATTCATTGCCTAATCATTTCATACCCAACTCCCCCCCCTCCCCCCCGGTACTCGTGTGCACGCGACCTTCTCCTCCATCAAGTGTCCTCACTGTACCTTCCCCACGCTCTTTCTCACTTCCCTTTCTGCCCTTATCGCAGTCGACCCTCAATACCTCCCCGATGCAAAAACAAGTTTAAAATAAATAAAATCTTGTTCTTCATAATAGCCCAGTGCCCACGTTCACCACAAATGTGAAGCGCTGTCACATTTTGACGCTGTATTAGTGATATAAACTTTGCCGATAAAATCAATTGCCGCCTTGTGTCCGCCCACTCCTGCATGTCGGTCACGGAGGTTGTTTGACCATACTTCACCAAGCTAGTCAGCGCGGGTCGGTGAAGGACAGAACTCAGGACAGGTTCATATTTCACTTGCATTGGATGTTAGTCGTAGCTGGAGATCGAACTCATGTTGTTACTGGGTTCATGCCGTGGTCCACTAACCCCTGCGCCACCGCTCCACCCCTAACAAAGATACAGATCTTGATCTTTTATAATAATTCCCATTTTCTGACGACATCCTTTGTCCGTCACGCAGCAAGTCTACGATTGACTGAAATCCTCTGTTTTTCCGTGATGTGATCCAACCCAGTGCAAACAAATCGAAATCCAATTCTACTTTCACCACAAAAAATGAGTTTTGGATATTCTTGGTTCTTTCGGTAAAGTCACGCAGATAGAAACTAAAATTAAAAATAAATGAAAATTTGCGTTTTTTGCTTAAATTTTTATTTACTTTTAATTTATTTTTATTTTCTATCTACATTACTTTACCGACAGAACCAAGAATGTGAATTCCTGCAGTCACGAAAGTTTTAAGTATAAAATTTGAGTTTTGGACTTTTACAAAGATTTAATTTCGTCGCAGCCTATACAACGTATTTATACTGGTAGGAACCTCCTGGTTACACCAACCCACAGGGGATTATTGTGTCTGTCCGTCCTGCATCCAAAAATGGGAGGGGTGGGGCTGGGTGGAGAGGGGAGGGTGAGGAGGGGCTGGGTGGGGAGGGTGGGGCTGGATGGGGGGTGTGAGGGGTGTTGCTGGGTGGGGAGGGGCTGGTCACCCTGTGGTGCCCTTATAAAACTCAATGTTTAACCTACTCACGACGGCTTGTGCCGCCCTCACAGTCGGCCATATTTGCGGAATACACCACCGTTGACCCTGGCCATTGACCGAGCAACCCAATGTTCCTACCAGCTACCTCCGCAGGAATGTGTTATTTGCAATAAGCAAAAAAACTCACTTCTAATGCTTTCATGTAAGCCCCAACATCCAACTTGAGCCCATCGGTCTCCTTGTAGTATCTCCTGTGGTTTAATTACAAGGCACACAATATCTCCATTTAATATTACATAACAGCATTTCCCTTGGTTTATGACTGCTATATCAGTTGGGATTGTTGCCGCCGCTATTACGTTTAAATATGAATCACAACTTGAGTTCATGTTACACGGATAATCCCGTTCAGCCAGTTTCCTGGCTATTTAACAATGGATACCCGTGGTTGCGCGAGCACAGTAACAACAAAAGACATACATCAATAATTCGACGAGCAAATACAGGGTCCTTAGCCAGTATTACATGACAAACTAGGCCTTAACGTCGGTTGTGGACGCACAATGTTGTGCACGACATATCTAGCATGAAGAAATACCATAAAAGCCAATAATATAAAAAATTTGACTCACAGTATCGGGAAATCCAAACAAACTACAGGAAAAGTCAATGAATAAAAATCAATGTTCAAGCTGGATTTAAAAGTACCGACAGACTCCCGATTCCTGAACTGCCAAAGGAATCGCAAACTATGATAAACTGGTGGGACGAAGGAGTAGCAATGCTGCACTAACAAAACAGTGGCACTGACGGCGAGCAAGACATGGTCTCTGCGTCGCAAATAATAATGGCAAGCCAGTGTGTGTTGATGACATGAAACTATTCCCTTTCACTCCCTCGTGTGTAACTTAGGGTGCAGCACAGGAGCGGGAAAACGTTCCGTGTCACTGGGCGAGCAGCGGATGTACTTCGTATATTCTGTTCCATGACTAAGTGGCGTACCAAGCCCAGGATTCCAATTTTAGTTTTTTAAACTCAAACGAATGCCAACAAGCAGTGTGCCAACTGGCTTCACTCGTCGATGTACATGAGGTTAGCGCGTAGCGAACCGGCAATATTATTCATAAAACATTTATACGAAGTGTGACACGCAGAGATGAGAAAAAAGCATAAAGGATTACCTTTGATGCGATTTTCAAGAGTTTACTGCTGCGTGCCAGTCATCATCCAAAATTCTGAATTTGAAAATCGCCAACTGCTTAAAACAAAACGTGTAAAATAGGCTCTTTCCCTGATCAAAGTACCCCTAACTTAACCGATTAAAAAAGACCAGAGGCATTTCATCAATGCATTAATTGACAAGCGCACGAGAATGTGAAGCGGTTAAGGATTGATAAAAAAACGTACTTGTATGACCACTGTTGCATGTACGTTTGTGATCGGGAGCACAGTAAAAATGGCAGGTGAACATAGCTCCAGAGCTCACATCAGCTCAAGATATAGAAACCTCATTTGCTGCAGATATCCCCATGGCCTTAGTTTACCATAATTCGTTTTTGTTGTCTTTAACTGGCTGCAAACTCAAAGAGACCAGGATATAGTGTGCCGTTTGCAAAAGTGACCTGAAATAACCCGAATGACAAATCAATCAAACGTAGTAATAGCTCGAGGAAAATAAAACTAAATCGGAGCAGAACAACAACTGCGTTTCAGGGGAAACATTTTTTTAAAAAAAGAATGCAACAAATACACATCAATACTACATCAAATCAACTGTCGAGTATTATAGTTTAGCTCTGTCAAATTACGTTTAAGACACGGCCGTGCGGTAGTGCGCTTGCCACTTCTTGTAGATAGAGGTTCGCAATTTATGCCCCCCAGCTGCCCTGAGTAATACTGCAGCCACACAAAAATGAACACACCACCTGCATCAGAGTGGACATTCAAGATCCTGTGACGTCGTTAAATCGAGCAGGCCATGCGTGCCGGAGTCAGGGTGCCAATTTTGGACAAATTTGAAAAATGTATCGAGGCCAACATCACCCACCCCCTCTTGAGACACCAATGCCACTTGCAGGCTGGCGGCTGCGCCACTGTGTGCCGCACACAGTGGCGCAGCTATCATCATTGGGGGTCCCCCCTAGGCTAAAACATAGAAATAACTGCAGCTGGACATTGGAGTGATTGAGATCAGATTGGCACGGTTGGCTACATATGGTGCGAAAACAGGACCCTGCGGGGTGGGCTGGTAGGAACGAATAACCAAAGAATATAAACATAATGTATTATTACACTTGTTTAGCCAGGAAAGCCCCACTGAGTCTAAAGGTTTTTGTAGGGTCCTGGCAAGTGTTTGCAGTAGGGGGCGATGTTGCTACACCGAATCGGACGATACGAAGGGAGAGTGTGAGGCCTAGGTCTAGGCTTTAGGCCGAGCTGTAGGCGTTAGGCCGCTGTGAGTTAATTGTTAATTTAAATGTTTTAATTATTTATGTAAAAGCTTTAAATGTAAATGTTTCTATATAAAAACATCACGGAATGTAACATTGTAAAACATTAACTCCCTTTCACACACGCGGGGGTACGATACGAAGGGGAGAGGTTGAGGCCTAGTTCTAGGCTTTAGGCCTAGCTGTAGGCTTTAGGCCGCCGTGAGTTAATTTTAAAATTAAATGTTTTAATTATTTATGTAAAAGCTTTAAATTTAAATGTTTCTATTTAAAAGCATCAGGGAATGTAACATTCATAATCAACGATTTTTTTTTTTGGGTTTAGATCGCGTTTATTTATAAATGTGTCGTAACCCTCCACCACCCGACACGGCCAATCAGTAAAAATGTGTCACGTTGACAAAGACAAATAGTTCACTGCTTTAGCCCACCGGTGTGTTGAAGCAACAACATTTACAATTTGAGTACGACGTTTCGCTGGTAATTGCAATCAGCATCATCGGGCAATTCGCCAGAATGGTGAGGCTCTCCTGTGTCTCCCGTTCTTATATAGAGCAGCAGCAGGGTGACGTCATCATTAACTCATTAACTCATCAGGTGCAAAGATTCAAGGGGGGAGTGATTGTAATTATATACTAGATTAGTAATCAGGCTATTGTTACGATGCGAGTTGTAGATTAGTAATCATTTGGAATGTGTTTATTGTGATTATGCTACATTAGTAATCAGTTAGTGGTTGTTTCCCTTATAAGTAATTGTAATGTATCTTATTTAATAATACGCTTATTTAATAACCCAAAAATCGTTGATTATGAATAACATTGGTCGCGAAAGCCTACGTGTTAAACTGAATGTAACATTGTTAAACATTAACTCCCTTGCACACACGCGGGGGTACGATACGAAGGGAGAGTGATAGGCGTAGTTCGAGGCTTTAGGCCTAGCTGTAGGCTTTAGGACGCTGTGAGTAAAATTTGAATTTAAAAGTTTTAATTAAAAGCTATCTCAGGGAATTATAAGGAAATGTTACACTTGTTTAGCCAGGAAAGCCTCATTAATTTAAATGTTTTAATTAAAAGCTATCTGAGGGAATTATAAGGGAATGTTACACTTGTTTAGCCAGGAAAGCGTCACTGAGTCTAAAGGTTTTTGTAGGGTCATGCCAAGTGTTTGCAGTAGGGGGCGATGTTGCTACACGGACGGACGGACATCGGACGGACAGACGAATTAATCTATTGTAGGCTGGTCCACTTCGTTCCTACCAGTATAAGTCCAACCTACATACACACATACAGGGCACACTTTGACATGCTGCGGTATTTAAGCATCCTTTCAAATTAACGTATTGGCGGGACACCGGTGGCGTGCAGTATATAGATTTTAAAAAATTCCCCAATAATAATTTATTCGTAACCCCGCTCAGAATATCTTGCAGGGTGCGTCAAAATCAGTTCTCATGACGTCGATTCAGACGGAAGACGAACATCATGAGCGGCTGAACACGAAGAAGCTTCACAGTCCGTTGCCGTATAGCAGCACCCAGCCTGGTGACGATTGGCCGGTCCGTGTTCCAAAGGCAGATTTGACTCCTCGTGACCGAGACTTGGTCGGACGGTTCCTGGATTCAATGGAACCAAATCAACGGTCAATGTTGACCTTTATTAAATCAAATCTCAGTAGGCTGAATAAACGTCTGAATCGCGTCAAACTTGGTGACAGGGTCAATTCAAGATTGATAAAAACAAATGTGCTTATTCAAATTTAAATTTTCGACTGCTTTATGAGGACCGGTGTGTCATGCTGCGCCGGGTATACCGCCAATACGTCCAAATACAAATTCCATCCTTTTGAAAAATTCTAATTTCATCGAGTAAACAAAAGTTATGGAAAGCCTCGCAGACAGTTTGAGGAGAGCATTGCCTGGAGAGGCAATCGTGTGCAACACTGACCCCCTGCCCAGGGAGAGCAGCACGGGCGTTTCGAGGCCTATGAGGACGCGGAACGCCTCGTTGAGGCGGTCGTACGTGAAGAACTCGGCCGCATCGCCCAGCACCACACAGTTCGGATCGCTCACGTCCAGGCCGTCAAACTCCGGCAACACGTCTGCGAGCACATTCGGAGAGGGAGACCCGAACGCCACTTTTTTTACTTTACGCACCAAAGTCTTTTTATGGACCCTACATGAGATAGCAGAGGGGATCTTGACTGTAAGATCGGCAGTGGTGAGATGTTAACTACCCCATTGGTATACAGGAGGTCGCGGGTTTGATCCCGACCCTGACGCCTGTATAAATGGAGTTTGCCTGTTCTCCTCGTGGTCGCGTGGATGATTTTTCTCCACATTTAGAAACATGCGTTCAGAGTATTGGGCTGCTACAAATTTCAACGTGATAAGCCACTTTGTTGAGCTATCATTTGTGGCCGGGTCGCTTTTGAAAAAAAGCAACATAGCCCAGTGGGCCTTACCTGGTAAAATAAAAATAGCTATAGTTCACCAGCATCGATTCAAGCAAGTCTGGCTCTGCTGTTGAAACCAATCCAAAGTTTACGCTGCTTGAAATCAATGCTGCTGGAATTATGCACTCCCAGAAGGCCGTGCGGCTGATGGGGTTGTGTTATAAATACTTTTCTTTACGTGGAGAGATGGATATGTGAAGGAGACATTTATCGTCTCTTTGTTTATTGTTACTTATATTCTCCACAGCAGCGTGAATTATTATATGTAATGGCAGTACTGAAACTCATGCAATAAAATAAAAATAAACTTAACAGTTTTACCTCAACCCAGGCTCTCAACCATGTTGGTTCAGTCCTCTGACATCGGCCTCAATACCCTGGGCCATCCAGTCACCTCCATTAATAATAACTCATTGAAGTGTGTACAGTTTACCAAGTGTCAACATTGCACAAAATAAAAAAATAAAAATATAATTATGATTATTAACTGAAATAATACAGGTAGGAACAACAGGTTCCACACTGCCCACCAGGGATTATTTGTCTGTCTATCGTGCATATCCGGAATCCGCCCACCCATGCACCTCCCCACCGAACACCAAGCTACGCCGCGATTGGTTGACGATGTCGGGGAGGGTGGGGAGGAAGGGTAAACACGCCCACTCATCCAACTGCCCCCCCCCACCCCTGAACGCCGCGCTGTCCAACCAAGTTCCTACCTGCCCACTCCGAAGGAACGTGTTAATTCTCAACGTGAATGTGTGTTCACCTTTATAGCCAATCGAGTTTTGATGGCACAAAAAACATGCACCGTGTGTGCAAACAGCGCTCTCAGCCTTAAACAGGAAACCACTAGTACAGAAGAACTGCATCGTAGTCAATTTGTCTTCGATCACCATCAATAAGTTGAGAATATGCAATCAACCGACAGGCAGAAATGAAAACAAAGATACAACTGTAGACCGGTTTCGTCCTTGGTGGGGCACATCAGTAGAGTAATCGATGTTCACCACTTCTTGTTTTCATGTCATTAAAACATTAAATAAGCCACATTTACCTGATATATGAACATCCGTAAGTATGGCTCAATCATTAATTGGTATATTACAACTACACTAAAAAACAGTTTCCGCTCGTGTATCTAAAATTGAGCTTTGAAGTCAAAGTTGCTTTGAAGTCAAGGCTGCTTTGAACCATCATTTAAATAATGCAATGTTACGATGTGAGTGTAAGGGAATCTCCCGTCAACTGTTGTTGACAAGCCGAGTATATCCCACCATCATCCGTGTACCCAGAATGGCACATTGCTATGGTCCAGACTTAATGTATTCTCAGAATTATCTCATGGACTTTTGTCCATGAGATGTTAAAGAAAAAGTTGGGGATGCATCATGTAATCTGACAAGTGCACGTGTCTTCGTCTTTGTGACCAGATCTGTTTAACTTTATTGCTTCTTTCGGTAAAGTCACGTAGAAGGGAAATAATAAAGTAATAAAAAGAAAACATAATATTATGGGTTTTTTATTTTATTATTTCCCTTCTATAAAAATGTATGTCCCTTCTATAAAAATAAAACATAATATTATGTTTTATATTTATTATTTTATTATTTCCCTTCTACGTGACTTTACCGAAAGAACCAAGAATATGAATCCCTGCAGCCACGAAAGCTTTAAATCGAGATCTGTTTAACTTTATTCACACCGGGAATCAAAGTTCCGTTCATCATATAATGTGGAGAATACGGTCAAATTCAGCCAATCCGTTCCACTCACTAGTAAACGAGAGCATTGGTTTTCAAAATTTTTTGGACTGATGACCTCTTAAAACCATTTGAATAATCTCACGGTCCTCATGAGGCAACAATTAAAAAAACTGGTCATCAAAAGGCATTGTTTCACACTGATTCCAACCAGGCTTCCTTCCATAAAAGAGTGTAAAGTGCAGTTTACAACTTGTAATATCCACTGTATCACTCTGGCTTCTGTATGTATATGCTATGATGAAGGGGCACTGCCCAAAACGTTGCCTCTTATTTTCGTTATCTCTTAAGGCTGCAATCACTCTCCCCGTCTCGTTCCCGCTCCTCCCTCAAGACCCTCACCTCTTCTTCCTCGCCCATCCTTCGCTCCATCCCTAGGCACCCACCGTAATTCCGGTACCCACAAAACATCCCTCCCCATACCGATTCACCGCATCACCTTCAGCTACCCTCATTGCGTTGGATAAAGCGCTATATAAATATAACATAGGATCGTAATTGAGGAATGTGTTGAGATGTGTTTTCTTCTTTCCATCAGTGAGTAGCGTTGCTGTTGCATGGAAGACTTTGGCACTGGATGAAGAGGGACAGGTGGGAGGGAGGAGCTAGCATCCATATCCGGCAGAAATGACCAATGCTTACGGCAACATAGTTCGAGGAATGATAATGGCTTCTGATTGGTCCAAACCTGTACTATGCACAGCAGAATTATTCTACGGGTACCGCAAACGTCTACACAACTCCAAATAAATATCTACTCGCTCCTGCACAGTTGTACTGATAATAAATATGTGTACAAGTGGAAGTCACTACACTGCTGCTCTTTAAAACTGAAATGGATTTCTTCTTGCTGATCATAGTTAAAGCCTTCCCTTTTTACTATGTACCCTATCCTGTTGTATTCCATGTGATGTCTCTTTTTTGACAAGCTATGGCTCTTTGTATGAATGTATGTTGAACTTATTGCATAGCCAACCGTGCTAATTGGAGATGCTTAGCTTATTGAAATTCATACACGTGTTGCATAACCAATTTAAAATATGTTCGTCACAAGGTTTATATTGAAAAAGCAAGACAACGGGTACAACTCATGGCATGGCAAACACGCAATTACACTGCCTAGTTGTGAAATGACAACTACATTAGTAGCAGGTACATTCCCTGCTTCTCATATAGCAACACGTTCCACGGTGTGTGAAACACATAGGTCTGCAGCTATATTCTGTTCACCATTAAGAGCCTGCTCTTCCCACGTACAGAATGCAGGCCGTGTGACAGTTACAAATTCAAAACAATATTCACAGATCACCTAAATTGGGTAAACCATCACAGCAACATTTCCACCCTCCCACCTACTGGCAGGCTACACCCATCTCGCAAACATAATTCCGTCATACTCTTTGGATCTTTCGGTAAAGTCACGTAGGTATAAAATAAAATATACCTACATGACTTTACCGAAAGCACCAAAGAGTATGGATGCCTGCAGTCACGAAAGCCTCAAATCAATAATTCCTTCATTTGGTCGTAGACACTGGTGCGATGGGGATGGTTATTTATTATATGTATGCTTTTGGCTGATTTGTTTACCTTTCTTGTACTTTGAACTCCTATCGTGTTGTGTACTGTTTGTTGTTTTGCCGTTCCTACCCCGTGCCCCTACTGGACATCCATGAAAAAAAGCTTTAGAGCTCATCGGATTCCTCGAGTGTAAAAAAATATTCTGATTCTGCATCCCAACATCCACAGGCCGATGCGCACATCTCCTTTATAAATGGCAATTGAAAGACAGGCCACAGTCGTGTGATTGTGGCCATTCAACCCAAACTACGGACCTTACATTAAACCACTGCAATCTATACTCCTTCAATGGAAGAATATAATAACTACAAGAGAACTCTCGATTTAAAGCTTTCGTGACTGCAGGGATTCATATTCTTGGTTCTTTCGGTAAAGTCACGTAGAAGGGAAATAATAAAAGAATAAATATAAAACATAATATTATGTTTTATTTTTATATTATATTTATTATTATTTCCCTTCTACATCACTTTACCGAAAGAACCAAGCATACAAGAACTCTCTTTTGAAGCCCTCTCGTGGCAGGCCAGACCTCGGCATTGGCATTTAGCGACCGATGATATTGCCGCAATACGCGCAAATATAACAGAGAATCCCTTCATTACAGCCTGGTGCTGGAAGGATGAATGCCGCAATGCATCACCAAAATCACAATTTACCCTCATCACACACTGTGCAGTAGGAATCGGGGAATTTATCCACCGCGGTTCCAGCCCGGCGCAAACCTGAACGCAACGCGCAAACACTTGTTTTTGGGGACGTGAGCCGCGACCCACGTGACCCACGCGGACCCCCCCCCCCACCCTCCCACTCCCCGTACCACGATGCAGCAGCAGGTGCGGACGCAGGCCCCTCTGCTGGAGCAACTGGCGGGCGGCGGGAGCGGGCGCCACGATCTCGCCGGCGTCCACGGCGAAGCCCAGGCGTTGCAGCTTGAGCGCCAGCCCCTCCCGCGTCGCCTGCGTCTCGTTGGTGCAGAAGCGCAGCTTCAAACCCGACTGCTTAATCCTGTGAGACAGCCGAGCCGCCGGGGGGGGGGGGGTCTTGGTAAACCAGAACTTGTGCGTGATATTTAACAAGGTTTTCATCTCAAGAGATACAACACAATCGTGGGGTTTTTTTTTACACTATATTCAACTTTCGTTTTTATTTTACCAGGTAAGGCCCACTGAGCTATACAGCTCTTTTTCAGAAGCGGACTGGCCACAAATGAAAGCTCAATGAAGTGGCTTATCACGTGTAAATTTATAGCAGCCAAATATTTTAAATGCATGTTTCTAAATGTTGAGGGAAATACTGGACCCGCAGAAAAACCCAAGCGACCACAGGCAGAACATGCAAACTCCAAATATACAGCAGGCGTCAGGGTCGGGATCGAACCCATGACCTCCTGCATGCCAGGTGAGGGAGTTAACATCTCAACACCATGATGATAATGGGCAAATGCTAATCGTAAAATGAGCACGATATACTGCACACAAAAATGTAACCACACCCAGTTGTTGGTTCAACTAAGTCTTTACATATTGACATGTTTTTACGTATTTTATGAAGGTCAGTGTTGTCATGCTCAAATATGCATTGGCCACACTCTGAAAGTGAGGCCCTCCACAGAACTGCCACTGTTGATTTCCCACAAAGTGCTCACTATTATATCGACTGTGGAGAGCTGATTGGCCGAGTCACACACGGACAGGAACTCAAGACCAGACTGGAACATATTTAGTCGCTAATCGAGTTCGACCTTTTGGTCGACAGGCCTCAAAGGAACAACATGGGGCAGTACAGTGATGAGCCACAGACCCGAAATTCAAGCCCGAGACAAGGAGATTACAGCCAAGCTATGGGCTTCTCAAAGTTGCATCGAGGCAGGGAATGGTAACATGTCAATTGTGCAGTAACAAGGTCTACAGCACACACATTTCTGACAAAGTGCAATCATTCATATGGCTGGTCTCCAACATATGAATTAGCATATTAGATAAACACCAGTTTACTTCTAAAAATACCAATGATGACGGTTTAGGGCTAAATAAAACGAAATGTTGATGATTATAATGATAATTATGACGCTGTTACTGCAGCTCATGATGATGATAAGCCACCGACCCCCACACTTCTACCAAGCCCCCCGTCTTTTGGCGACCAACTGCACCAGACACCCATTTCATGCCGAATTTACCTGGTGGAGGCTCGGAGCAGGTGCCACCGATGTTAACCGTGGCTGGGAACTGAACTCAGGTGGTGCAGTGGTTGGCGCGGGTGCGCCAACGGCGTGCACAATTGCACACACTCGTAAACAAACGCACGTACACTCGTAAACAAACTCACGTACACTCGTAAACAAACGCACGTACACTCGTAAACAAACTCACGTACACTCGTAAACAAACTCACGTACACTCGTAAACAAACGCACGTACACTCGTAAACAAACGCACGTACGCACAGAAAACATCCAACGCGCAAATGCGCACGCGGAGCCACACAAACACCCACGTGCACATGCCATGGCACGGCAAATCTCACGTATCACTCAATTATCCTGACGAGTTTCTTGTTCAACAGTGGGCTAGTGTCTTCTTGCAATCGTTCTTTCCTTTATGGCGATGGACAGAGAGTCAAAAAAACAAGTGTGGAATGCCAGTTTCAAAGGGCAAGTATTGTGTCTAAATAAATGGGCTCCTTGTACTCTTCGGGAATATTACCAGCTCTGCTCTGTGGCGGACACAACGAGAATAAGACGCAACAAATCCAAACGTCCATTTCGCCGTGACCATTGCCGACAATTGTATCTTTAAACAGGCATAGTTTAGCCGGGTTGGTGGTGGCGCAAAACTTGCATCCAGCACTGTCGAGTCAGCGAGGGTTGGTGCTTCATTGATCGTACAAATGTTGCGAAACTCCCTTCCCGTGGGCATTGAGGAGGTGCCATACCCTGGCTTGCCAGGAGAAACCAGTACAGAAAAAAATGTGGATTCCACCCGTGCTGTGTGTATGGGATAGAGAGTTTCCCACTCGCATGCGTGCATTTTTTTGAGCCACGCAATAAATTATTCAGAGCAGCTCTCAGAGCGACAATGAGCAGGCGAACTTAAGGCAGTACACATTTTTCTCGTACAAAATGTCTCCTACTTTTCCACCAACAGTGTTTATGCAGTATGCTACACTTAACCCTTTCCTGTTCCGAGACGTCCGTAAGTTGCATGGTGGGGCTCCCATTCACCGCTGAATCTCCGAACGTGCAAGCGGTTTGCGCTAATTTTATTTAGAGGCGTAGCACCGCTGTTTTTAAAGACATTGTACTCACAGCAGAGAACTGCTGCGACACACCCGCACTCTATGATAGCCGGCGCCAAACTGTGCCACACGCCCTCACGCAAGGCCTTTAACGTGCAATTTCGATGACGTATGTGTGTATGTCATCGGAATGGAATCGGAAGAAAAGCTGATGACGTACACCTTCCCGCTCCAATGACGTACGTGTACATCATCGGAATGGGAAAGGGTTAATACAGGTAAGTCTGAAAACTTTACTTTTTTATTACAGTCCTAACGGGTCTGAAATGGAAAACATTGCTGCAAGCTAAGCAACAGAAATGTCTTAACTTAAAGCTTTCGTGACTGCAGGAATTCATATTCGTTGGGTCTTTCGGTAAAGTCACGTAGATAGGTTCAAAGAAAATAACAAAATAACAAAAAACTACATTTCGATCGCAACACAAGCGGTCGTCATTAGGAAGATAAAAAACGACCGCTTGTGTTGCGTTCGAAACGTTAATACTTTTTTGTTATTTTGTTTGAACCTATCTATGTGACTTTACCAAAAGACCCAACGAATATCAACAGAAATGTGTAGTGTTAAGATGAAGGATGTGAAATTTTCACGGACAGACATGAGAACAAATGTATTTAGGGATAGCATCAGGGTACACAACACGAACATGAATAACAATAATTACAGAAAGGCAATTTAGATTTCTTGGACATGTAATGAGGAAATACCAGGAGACTGAAAATAATGCTTTGACTCGTACAATTGCAGTTACAACATGAGCAAATTGAACAATTGGATGCAACTGGCAGGAAGTATCTCGTGCACATTTCTAGTAAAATAATCATGAACAGAAATAACTAAAAGGGAATTCATGATCGCCGACATCTTTGACAAGGGATATGGCACAGAGCGAGAGAGAAATCTTGAGCTATATTTAATTTAGTTAATGTTCAAATACAAGGCATTTACATGGTATCTTTTGCAAACGAAGGTGGCTGTGCCAGGGACTATTAATCACATTTCAGATAAAATACCGTGGCTCTTGTCATGCTCCCTGTTTACCATCGAGATTCAAACAACAATTAAGATCCAATTAGTAATTTTCCATTCTTTAAGGGTCCTAGTTTTTATTGTCTGGATGTTCAGTACAATTTGAGATTAATTTCGTCTCTCCATCTTCACAGGTAAGGAAGCCCCCTATTTTGAGATATCTCACAAACGACTGCAATTGTACTTTAAAACATCGAATTTCTCAATCAAATCACACAATGAGATGATCCTCGAGTATGATGCTGTCGTGATGTAACAATTACAACGCAGGATTAGAAGGCAATCCAAGAGGTTTCCGGTTCGATCTCCAGGCGTGGCAGCTGAAACAACGGTGCTGCTATAAAATCGGCTGATATAAATTTCCACGTGATAAGCCACTTTTTTAAACTATCATTTGTGGTCCATCGTTTCTCGAAAAAGAGCCATATCGCTCAGTGGGCCTTACCTTGTCAAATTAAAAGTGTAAGTTTAGTTTTAAAGGTGCTTCTTTTTTTAACCCCACCCCCACCTCTGTCCACCGAGCAGTATAAATGGGTACACCACAGTTGGTCAATTGGCAGGTCACATCTCGTGGGGTAAAGTGTGGGGTAACTTCCACCTCTTCTGAAAGGACTATGGCCAGTGTGAAGGGACCGTGGTGTTTTTGACCTACGCAAAAATATATAATTAATAAGCTGTCCATACAAAAATTGAAATTGCTTGAAAGGAGGAAATTGATGATTTGATGCCGATTTTGATACAGGCATGTGTTGTCTCCGGATCTGAGTGCGTGTACGATTTTTTTAATTGATTGGACAACAGGAAGTAGACTAACTTTTGATTAAAAGACTTGACCACGACAAACACAAGTGAAGTTAAATAAACCGTTGAAAAAGAGGGGAAAAGCTCCCAAAGGCAAGCTGTAAGGTACACCCCTTCGTCCCATCGTCTCCACCATTGGCTCACCCACCTACAAACTGGCCCGATTTCTGTCTGAGACCTTGCAACCATTCACTGGTAAGACCACCTCATCTGTACTTAACTTAGATCACTTGGTATCGTTAATTAAGGACAATCTCACTATCTTCAGGTGATTTGCTCGTTAGTTTCGATGTAGTTTCTTTGTTGACCAAAGTTCCTGTGCCCGACACCATTGCAATCATTGAAGATTTGGTCAAACAAGGATTGAATGCTGATGTACTGGCCCTGGTGAGACATTGCCTCACCAACACATACTTCACCTGGAATGGAACATTCTACAAACAAGTTGAAGGCACCCCAATGGGTTCTCCCTCATCTCCGGTTGTAGCCAATGTTTTCATGAAAAAATTTGACAGACGCCATCCAGGCATCCACTCTACGCCCGTCCTTGTGGATGAGGTACGTTGATGACACGTTCGTCATCTGGCCACATGGCCGACCAGCTCTGAACCAATTCCTCAACCACATAAATTCCATACACCCAGCCATCAAATTCAACATGGAGGTGGAAAAGGATGGCAATCTACCATTCTTGCATATTCTAATCGAAATGAGACCAGATGCCTCAATGGGCCACTGTCTACAGGAAAGCCACCCACACTGATGCCTACCTAAAACCGGACTTCCACCACCATCCATCCCAAAAGAATTCCCTCATCAAAACTCTACACCCTAGAGTTCGATGTATCTCCGACCATCATCACCTAGCCAGTGAAGTGAA